AGAAGGCGCTGAAGAACGCGGAATGAGTTTATCACATCTTGCTCCCCTTTTGGTTCCTCATCCTTCTGCGTCTCGACATAATCCATTAGGCAGCGATTACATATTTTCCGCATTCGTTAGTAGCTGTCCGACATAACTAAGCACTTTTCTCTATTTGATGCAACATCACCTCAATCTTTGTCTTTTGATTCCCTGACATCTATTATCTGAACGTGTTTGCATTTTCCTTGTGGAAAAATAGTCTTGTGAAGAGTTTTTTTTACAATTTTTGTATGCTTGTCGTGATAGTCGCTGCGCTAGTTTTTTCTTCGTTGCAGCAAATATAATGTGATCATTCTGTAGTTCGCTCACGATCTTTGAGTGCTAATTTTAGCAGATTTCTGATGAAAATCATCATTTATCAATTTTGCATTTCAGAGAATTCTGCTACGGGTGTCATGAGAGCGGGCAATTCGTCGACGATCGAGCCAATGGGGCCACAGCCCACCCTCGTCCACCTCATCCCATTTGTCAAAGTGCTGTTTCAAAGTTTTGGGCTGTAAATTTCGACCTCTTTGTACCTTTCATTGAACCGCTGATTGTGAAGGAAAAAGGAATTGTGCAAGCATTGCTCACATCATTTGAAGGCTTATTTCTTCTAGTTTTTCATGTAAAAACTTTCATATTCGAAGTGCTTTTACAGCAAAATAAATGTGGAACTTTGTCCTTGTCCTATTGCCATGATATCTACAGCCAAAGAAAGATACTTTTTCAAAAGTTTTTACTATTTTTCGAGAGTTTTTAGTGTTTTTGTTTTGTCCATTGTGTTTTTGCTGATTTCTTTTTCTTTAGCGCGCTCCAAAAAGAGCTTAACAGGAAGTCGACAACTCCACAAAAGGTACTAACGATAAGTTTTGAAAATAACGTGAATAACACCACGGGAGGGGGGGGGGAGGGGGGAAGGGGGGTCGTAATCTAGCACGACCATAGGGGGGTCGTTTTTGGCCGGGCTGCGCCTGACCCCTTGCTCAACCCTGAGCCAAGTTTTTGCTCGTGACTGTCGAGGTATATACGTGTTGAACGTGGCAACAACCAACGTTCAATGTAGCATCAAGACCTTATAATAACGGGCTAAGGGTTGTTTACGTGTTTTTGTGCGTGTGTCTGTGTGTGTGTCCGTCCGTCTGTTACGAAATTCGTGGAGCCTGTTCCAGCCAGCGTTCTATACCCAAATTTTGTATAGCGCATGCTCCCTTCATGAAAGTCTAACATGCAAAAGCACGAGTAGATTCGTTGAGTGGATTCCTCAGAGATTGCGCGCCAAACGGATCTACCTGGCTACTGCCCTCTAAATTGGATCCGTATCACCACTTTTTGCAATGTCGTGGGTGTGTTTGGTTAGCAAAGTGCAAACGATGGAGTTTAGCCCAAAAAGTGGTCAAAAGTTTACTACATAACGAAAACGGTGCCAAAAAGAATTGGTTGCGTAAATGGTCAATTTGCAAAGGTTCTAGCCAAGCATTTCAGAAGATTTTCGCGCAGAGATGTAGCTTACGATTACTATTGCCTTTATGGCGACTACGAAGCCACAAATTCAAAAACCTATTCAAATTTGCGTTTGTCTTCCTGTGAAAAGTTTCATCCACGCGAAATCACCGATCTCACATGAAAAAGCTTTTTAAATGAGTAGTTGTTTACATTTTATTCGTGGTAGTCGGCATAGCGCGGTGAGTTCCAGTGCCACAATTCTACGAGAATGAGTAAGGCACATAGATAGAAGGGCCAGTGCGAGCCTCTGCGAAGCAGGTGACGCACTGGTTATAGTATAGTGCTTCTATCACATCGAGCATTCATTCCTATTAGTAGGAATAACCTCTACCCATTGCCATATAACGCAGTGGGACGAACTACAGTGTCACATCAGATTTATCTTATCTCTGTTTGTCAATTATAATTCCTATGAGGCCTCCATTTCTACAAAGTTGCGCTTATCGGTGGCCCATCGTCCCGGGATACAGCATCCTCCTAGCTACAACATCCAAACTTTCAGGAATGGTTTTCTTGATTGCTACTCTTGCTGTCTGGACGGTTTTGCATCTAAATTCCAAGCTCCACGAATGTTTTATAGTTTTACCGTCAACGTTTTTACATCTGCACCTTTTTTGATTCTCCCCTGCAAGCAATTGAGCTGAACCTTTGCACACGCATGTCTTCGGCCCGGCGCAGATTATGGACTAATTTTCGGCGATTTGGTTAGGTCTTCTATTGACTTATCAATCTAATTCGCGCTATTAAGAAAATAAAAGCTTACCATGTTTTAACCAAGCATTTCCCATAGTATATAAACGGGGGCAATAAAGGTCATTTCAGTCCTAGAACACGAGAGGGCAGTGAATCAAAGTGCACTGTTTAATTTCTGAAAATTGTACCCTATTTTCAGGTGTATAAGCCTGCGGGGTTTTTTTCCTTGATCTACCAGCCCAAATATACCAAAGAACTTCGCGACCAAAGGATCCTACCATGTTGCGTATTGCCTGAGAGAATTGTGAGGCATAAGGACCGTTTTTGAAACACAACTGGAGCGGCAGAGCAGCTTGCTTGAAAATCCGAAAAGGTGCGGCTTACACAAATTGCTATTCTAAGGACTTCTACTTAATTTGGAATCAGCTTAACAGGATGCGTCCAGTGGTACGCATTTCGTTTTAATTAACCACAGGAACCTGTGATTCTTACCAAGTAAGATTTACAATGATATTCATTCTTGTGCTGCGCTTATCGTTTTCGGCTATGCTCCTAAAACTAGCACCAACAGTCTCTTAAGTTTCTCTAAAAAAATCTCGGAACTGTCAAAAAAAAGGTGATCGTAATAATTATGAGCCGCACTTTAGTCAAAGAAGATCAGGTTTTCTATCTTCAGCACATGATGTTGGAGGGTGTTGTGCTTAGAGTTCCACCTAATTCACACAGCTCTTATGACAAGGCGTTCGGGACAATTTTCATGCATGTTACTCATGGCGATAAAGGAGTTAGGGCAGTGATTCCTTACAAGTGAAATGGTATGAAAATTTTGAGTCTCAACTATATACTTTTGATGCGGTCATAATTTTTCGACACAAAGATCCCTTACAAGGGAAAGATACCAGGTCGCAGTGGCAAACAAATGATATACATACCATTGAATGCGCCTTGATGAGGTGATTCCAAACATATCTTTCCTATCCGCTAAGCGTTTCTTTAGGAGAAGCTATGGACGATCAAAGATGTAAAGCTATTGGAGTTTTGATGCCAGGTGCTTTGGAAACCAATTTGGGAGTGATTAAGTGGCATGATTCTAAGTGCAATGACTATAAGTAATGCATACATACACAGAAACATAAATAAGTGCTTTTAAACAGTTAGGTTCTTGAAGATGTGGCACTGTATGTTTGCCGAATTTGACATTCACAATTTCTTCTAAAGAGGAGCTTAACAGATACGGAAGTATCTGTAAGTATCCTTCCCTTGTTAGGCCTTGGACAGAGTTCACGTGATTTGGTTGTCGCGATTCAATCGCTAAGGCTTTGGCCATACTTCGCCAGTGTTGCCGGTGTTGAAAGTGTTGAAAGTGTTGCCGGTGTTGAAAGTGCTGAAAGTGTTACCGGTGTTGAAAGTGTTGAAAGTGTTGCCGGTGTTGAAAGTGTTGAATGGAGATCATCAGTCTAGCAGTTTCATTCTTTCTCGAACGATCTCACCGGCTGGTGAATACGTTGGAAATGGAATTGGGGAATGAGAAATGAAACTGAAATGAGATGGGGAATATTTTCGCATGCAAAAGATCCTCTAACAAACTTTTTGGAAAGTGGACGGCTTGTCTGGAATAGGCAATCTCCAGTATTTGAAAACGCTGCAGACCTCACTTAGATCCTTCACTCACTAATCGCAAGCGCGGCAGGATTCGAACTAAAACACATTACTACTCAGACTTCAGCTTTTTCAAATATTGGAGATTGCCTATTCCAGACAAGCCGTCCACTTTTCAAAAAGTTTGTTTGAGGATCTTTTGCATGCGAAAATCTTCCCCATCTGATTTCAATTTCATTTCTCATTCCCCAATTCCATTTCCAACGTATTCACCAGCCGGTGAGATCGTTCGAGAAAGAATGAAACTGCTAGACTGATGATCACCATTCAACACTTTCAACACCGGTAACACTTTCAACACTTTCAACACCGGCAACACTTTCAATACTTTCAACACCGGCAACACTTTCAACACCGGCAACACTGGCAAAGTATGGCCAAAGCCTAAAGACAAGTGTTACGAGTTCATTGCATGCTGATCTTCTTGTATATCGGTTGTTATAGTTGGTCACGATTAATCGTGACTAACTCTCGCAGCCGAATCACAAGAAGATTGGCATGCAATGAACTCGTAACACTTGTCTTTAGCGATTGAATCGCGACGACCAAATCGCGTCGCGGCAGGAACTCTGTCCGAGGCCTTAAGGGCCGGGCATACTTCACGCGATTTCAGTCGCGACGCGACTCGGCAATTTGCCATAACTCTTCGGATTCAAGACTAGCAGACTGCACATGCATAGTGTGTATAATTTACCTAAATTGATGGAACGCCCTATCTTCTGTACATTTGAAATGTGCCCTTAGTGATTTATGGACAGTTGGAATATTGCCAAATCGCGTCGCGACTGAAATCGTGTGAAGTATGCCCGTCCCTTTAGGCCCCGGTCAGACTTCACGCGACTTAATCGTCGCGACCAAATCGCCAAGATTTCCATTCATTTTCATTTCACATTCAAAAATTTCGGTCTGGAAAAGTATCACAACCGAATGCAAGTTGATCTACATGGAATGATGTTGTAACAGTTGTCTCCTCGCGATTCAGTCGCGACGATCAAATCGCGTGAAGTCTGCCCGGGGCCTTAGAGGAGCGGAACGTCAGCAAGAGTATGATGAATTTTTCTCCATGCTCTCCTTTTATACCGGTCGTAAAATTTGCTCAATTATGAAAGTCAAATCATTACCTTATGAACAAAGAGAACGAAAAAGGCGACCGCATCCTCTGAATGCATAAAAAGAAATGGCACATTCTAAGTTATGCTGAATTTAAAACCGGATTTGATTTGTTTGCGGCACATTTTTTCAGTGCCATCACTCTTGCGGTCTGGGAGGTACCATTGATGATTGTGGACTCATATTGTACTGTCGGCAGCTTTTGTGTATTAGGGTTAACGCATAAGTCTAGCATCAGAACAAATCAAAGCCACAATCATAACTTATAATAACGGGCTAAGGTTGTTTACGTGTTTTTGTGTGTGTATGTGTGTATGTCTGTGTGTCTGTCTGTAACGAAATTCGTAGAGCGAGTTCCAGCCAACGCCCTGAGCCCAAATTTTGCACAACGCATGCGACCAACATAACAGCCTACCGTGCAAAAGCACGAGTGGTTTTGTTGGTAGGATTTTTCAAAAAACTGCGCGTCAAACGGAACCACTTGGGTTCTGGCTGGAAAAATTGGTTCCGTATCACCACTTTTTGCAAAGTCGGTGATGTGTTTGGCATGCTGATGTGCAAGCCATGGACTTACGTCCAAAAAAGTGGACAAAAGTTCACTACTTTAGGAGAACGACGGCAAAAAGAAATGGTTGCGTAAATGATTAATTTGCCATGGTTTTACCTGAGCATTCGAGAAAATTTTTGCACAGAGATGTAGCTTACGTTGCCTACTGTCCTTATGGTAGCTACCAAGCCAGAAAGAGTCCAAAAACCTATTCAAATTTGTATTTGTTCTTCTGCGAAAATGTCACCCACGCGAAATCACCGATCTCACATGAAAAAGCATTTTAAATGGATAGTTGTTTACATTTTACTCGCGATAATCGGCACTGCGCGGTGAGTTTCATTGCCACCTTTAGTCAAGGATGAGTAAGGCATATGAAGTAAGACCAGTGCGAGCCTCTGCGAAGCAGAGGTGACGCACTGGTATGCCATATTTCTCCTATATTCTAGATAGGTGCAGGTAGAGCAAACTACCTCTATAATATGGTTTGCAAACATTTGCATCAATTTAAAACAACAAGTTTAAAGCCAGAACTAATCAAGAAGAGTTTGGAACCTTTCCAAAATAATCTATGGATCTCCTACTGACTTACGCATATACTCTTCATGTGAACATTCGTAATTACAGTTGCCTTCACTTTTCCTCAGCATGGAGGAAAGTGCTGAGCTGTTCAGACACCAGTGGATGTAATCTCAAAGCCTTCATAAATATAACGGTGAATTTTTAGCTTTTCGCAACGACCTTTTCAAGAAATATTAGGCTGGCTAAAGCAGATCTCCATAAAATCATTTTTGTTTATCTATGATTTGCTGAAATGTAGTTAAAAAATCTACTTTCACGTGTCGGCTAATCCGAACTTCTTCTAACAGTAGAAGGTAGGTTTGTCTCAGAATGGCCAAATTTCCTGAATCTTAATTTTTTGCTTTTCTAAGCTTTGTTCTCATGCTGTGATGGAAGTGGAGGTGAGTAATTTGATTCATGAATACACACAAGATTTATCTTTCAAGCGACAACAATAAAAATTGTGCTATGTCATCTCATCATCTTTTGATAGCAAACAAAATTTTATAATAGTGAAAAGATTAGGTAACTCACTTCTTTGCGCCTTTTCCTCATAAGGAAAAAATTCTAATCAAGTACAGAATTTACATTTCAATTACTATTGAGGCATTCTTTCTAGATACCAAACCCTGGACAAAAATGTCTGGAGCATTTGCAGGGTCCGCAAAGCGACCGAAATCTTGCTGGGAAACTTGATATTTTGAAAGGCAAATCAAAAAAGAGATAGATTTGATGTTCCTTCACCAAAGAGGGCCCAGCACAAGAACAAATCTAAGTTCCTCTAGACATTGCAGAGATACGAGGTACTTTTTTGTAGTTTTTGTAGAAGCTCTTCTAATAATTTGCAACGAAAAAAGGATTGAAGCGGAACAGACAAATATAAGTCAAAGTTTAAGAAGCGAAGTGCAAATAGGGGTTGTTTTTAATAAAGCATGGGGGACGACTTGGATTATGAGTATTTATAGGTAGAACTTGATCTACAGAATATATTTATGTAAAAAATGGAATTTATGAAGGAAAATTGTGAAGATTCATGTCTTTCCCTGGTTCCTCGCGACCTCAGGGTACTCCCAGGTTGCGCGTGAGCAACCTAAAATCTAAAACTTAAAGCCCGTTGTAAACAGACCGATTGCTCAAATTTTTGTGTGTAAAGATTGTGTTTTGAAACGTTGAAATCGTGTGCTCACAGCTATGCCCTAGTCGTGTTTGTAATGTGTCAGTATAATTGTATCTGTTTCAATTACGTTAGACTTCGAATTGGGGTTGCTAAGAGTTTTGCTTCCTAATGTCTCGTCAGGTTAACGATAAATAAAACTACATTTAGTGTGTGAAAGGGCCACCTCAGCTGAGCCCTGCTACCAACTCTTCTGGAAGGCCAAAATAGTACGACTGTGCTTACTAGGCTTGTAGTGAACAATCACTATAGTGGGAACGCTAACTCCCTGCTTTTGCAACAGTCTGAAAATTTTCATTTCCTCGATTTTGCGAAGGAAAATCACATAAACTGTGTGTAAGAATGTCTGTTGCGAAAAGTATGAGGCTGTTAACCAAGTTTTGCAACCATTTTTATAACTTCTCGCTCTTTGTATATGAAGCACTCAAATTTTGCAATTATGTAAGCTATAACGTAAGCTATACGCGCAGCTACAGTTCTAGAGTTCTGATATGTGAGGATTACGGTCGGCATATGGTATAAGGGCAAGCTACAAATTATTATAAATTTGGCTGGAAATTGGCATAGGGGGTTATTTGACATGCTTATCACAAAGTGATAATGAATTTGCATAGTAGAGCGTTTTTGTGAGCTTACCGTAGGTTAACGGTATGAGATCTCACATTCTACATGAAAAGAGGCGTCAATTCAATTGATAAACATGATAGTGTTTGACAGGTCAAATAATCCCACCGTGCAAAGTTTCAGCGAATTCCGAGATTTCGATTTTTTAGTCACAGGCGCTCGTCCCCAAGCAATCTTGCCTACAGCGGCTCCTTCAACTTTGTGGGGGCCCCACTCATCGACCTGACTACGAATTTCAGATTTTTCTTGTTGTGCCAGATGAGTCAACCTTTAGCAACAATTCCTGTATAGTTTAGGACCATTGTGGATGATTCAGTTTGAAAAACGGCTTCATTTTTACTTATTGACCCATAAATACTCGAATTTCACTACTTTCAAAGAATCTTTGGATTTGTTTTATTTTGTCATAAAGCAAGCGGTTTGTACCAGCTTATAGCTCACCCGACATTCTATACAATATTGAAAAGTGAGCGTGCTAAGGTCAAAAAGCGAAAAGTTACGGACTCAGTTGCAAAAATTAATTAACAGCCTGTTATATGCTTGATCGTTAGGAGATTTGTAGGGATTTTTTGGACGAAGTTTCAATTTCTCTCTATCAATTTGTGCTTCAAACTTCGCTTGTATCGAAGCAGGTGCATGTTCGAATACCATTTGTAGAGCGTATTCTTCAATCGACCGGTACTTCAGAGCCTGTTCATATACAGGGTGTCCCAAAAAATGTGAACACTGTTTGATTGTTAATAACTCCCTTGCTTTCATGTATTTCGCCGAGGTTGTGGCACCTATAGAGTGAGGTTTAACTTAGATCTACAGTATGGAGCGAATCGTCGATCGCTGTTCATCACCGTAAGATTATGGTATAGTTGACTACACGGAATCGTCCGGAATGAGCACCCTCGCGCGTGTCTCTTGCGAGCTAACCTTGGCATTCCCGCGCATGAGTCATCATAGCGCCCGTACTCGGCAGCCGCGCTGCAGGCACGCTCGCGTGCGTTTAGCCAACAACAACCCGGGCGATTTCGTGCAGGCGACTTTAAGAACTTCGATAAGGATTTCAGGCCATTTGAGACCATATTCTCCTAGGAACAAAACCAAACAAGCGAGAAACTTTTATACTATGGTAATGGAAGCCGCTGAGTTCGAATATGAAATTTCTACTCTATTGTGATGCTTCTTTTCAGGGTTATCCCAGCTAAACCGTAATAATGAATTTCCAGCATTTGTCAGAAATGTGACTACACCGTCAAAAAAGTCAAAAACATTTGTGAAAAGTTGTGCAATGGAATCAGCGTGCGCGAAAACCCTAGTACACGATTTTTCAGATTTTTTGAAAGAAATTATGTTAAATGGCATATTTCACAATAGATCCACATGCTAGAAGTTCATGCCGTAATCCTACAGTGACGAACAGCGATCGGTGATTCGCTCTATACTACAAATCTAAGTTGAATCTCGCTCTATCGAAGGGTGCCTAAAGCTCGGCGAAAGATGTGAAAACAACGGAGTTATTAACGATCAAACAGTGTTCACATTTTTTGACACCCTGTATAAGGGCCGCATGCATTAACATCCCCGCCGGCGATGGGGTTGCAGCTCAAAAGGAAGCTTCATTCCAGAAGCTTCAGATATCTGGATTTCACGCTGTCTACCTAACCGTAGATATTCCCACCATCTTCTACTATGAACAAATTAAATAGAAGCGGGAATCTGTACAAGCCGCATTTGCCAGCTTTATGTGTGACCCCCTGATGATCCCCGATGGCCGAGCGTTTTTTCTTCAAAGTCATTTCTCTTCCTTCGAAGTCAACGATAACATCTCAAAGTTGTACCGATTTCTAACCCAGCAGTGCTAAGCATGCTTCTGATAAGAATAAATGAGTTTTTGGAATATCGAATTCTTCGATAAACCCTTACTTTCGACCTGTGGTTCATCGCAAATTTCATGATCCAAAACAGTATTTTTCTTATCAGCAACATGCTTAGCACTGCTGGGTTAGAAATCGGTACAACTTTGAAATGTTATCGTTGACTTTGAAGGAAGAAAAATGATTTCAAAGAAAAGACGGTCCGCCGCAGGCGATCCCCAGGGGATCATACAAAAAGTTGAAATATGCAGCTTATACGCTTTTCCTCCTCTTCA